AAAAGTTAAAATAAGTTTCTTATTTTCTTTTTCAATTCACGGAAAAAGTATGTAGCGGCACGTGAAACACTTTATGGAAATAAAATTAAAGATGTGGTTGTTCTTATGGTAACAGAAGATGGGAATAAAACAAATAATTTTGTGGTGATGTACGCCGACATACGTATGTATATAAATAGATTCGTTTTTAAATTTCATTAGCAAGATTAATTTAAAATATTTTGTGCCGTAATTTAAAATTTAATCCTAACTAAAGTACTATTTTTTAATTTTCTTAAATGGGGGAAATATTGATAGTGAAAATATTTAACAAGAGTGCAAGATATGAATATTTTAGAATTTTCTAATAAAATGGAAACTAGTGGGATGGAAGCAATTGATTTTAACGAGACTTGTTCTATATGGATACGAGGTTTACTTGAATTGGATTGGGAAATTTGTATGTTAAAGTACCTTAGCATTATCTAAATTTGTATTATTTAAATAATGATTCTAGACTCATGTATCTTACACGGTACCATGTCCGTCGGTCCGTGTGTCAATGTGGCCGGCTGAAAAAGAAGATTTGTCATAACGATCTACTTCATTCACCACAAACTTCAACATTTTCAAAATAAATCCAGTAAGGAAAGCTCAAAAGTCGGGCGGGTCCGACTATATGATACCCTACACCACTATGCATATTTAGTACAGCTTTCGTAAAATAAAGGTTTATATTGGACATTTCTGAGCTCTATGAGATATCTGGTACAAAATATGATTGTGGTAGAATGTATATTCCGAAATTTGGAGATTTAAACACAAAATCGGATGAAACATATATATATATATATATATATATATATATATATATATATATATATATATATATATATATATATATATATATATATATATATATATATATATATATAATAATATATAATTCCGTTGAAGCCCGAAAATATATTTGGACTAATATTAGCCATTTGTTGCACAAAAAACCTAAAATCGGACGAAAATATAGGGAAGCTATATCCTAATCTGATCCGATCTTGAGAAAATTTGAATCATGCCTGAATCTAATATCTGGTAACAAATATCATTTTTATGGGGCGTATATTACGAATGTGAGGAACTTAAACACCAAAATCGGATGAAACATATATATGGGAGCTATAGCTATATCTGAAGCGATTTTCACGAATTTTTAAGTATTTACTTCTTGAAAGAATTCACTTGGAAGTGCAACATTTCACTCACTTTGGGCTTAAAGTAGCCATTTGGTGCACAAGAAAACTAAAATCGGACGAAGATATATAGGGGAGCTATATCCAAATCTGAACCGATCTTCATAAAATTTGATTCATGTATTGCTGGGCTGAATCTAATATCTGGTACTAAATATCATCTTTGTATATTACGAATGTGAGGGACTTAAACACCAAATCGGATGAAACATATATATGGGATCTATAGCTATAGTATTAAAATATAAAAAGTGTGTACCAAATAACTTCAAGAGCTTTATCGTGCACATAGACAGACAGTTAGATGGAGGGAAATATATGACTTCATCGACTCAAAATGTCCTACAAACATGTTTAGTTTTTGTCCAAGCCATAAGACAGTTTGGGATGTCTGATTTAAACATTTAGGAGCGAAAAACATTCCGCGCCATATGACGGCATTCATTTTTATGGCTCAGTTGTGGGATACGTGTTAAACACATCGCAGTATTTGTCGAAGTATTTTTTGGTTGTTTCCAAGAATAAACCAGTAATGAAATGTCAAAAGTCGAGTGGGGCCGACTTCATGATACTCTACACCACTGTGCATATTTAGTCGATCTGCCGTAACAAAAGAATTTTTTTTTCAAGTAGATCATACCACCCATCAACATTTGGCTTTAGAGCAGTTATAGGTTGCTATGGAGTGCATGATATCACTGGAGAAGGATTCTATTAAAAATACACATCGGAGTCGAGTGGCAAAAAATGGAAACTTATGTCCCGAAATTCACTCCTTTTGGGCTGATATTAGTCATTATTTACTCAATAAACCTGAAATCGGATTAAGGATATATATGGGAGCTATATCTAAATATTAGTCGTTCTCGATAAAATTTGGCAAATGTACTTCCGAGCTTTATAACATGTAGCTAGAGCTATATCTGAACCGATTTTCTATAAATTTGATGTACTTGGTTCTAGACTACATTCGGTCGGATGTACTAAAAGCCATTTGGACTTTTACTGGCTATTTGGTGCACAATTAACCCGAAATTGGTTAAGGATATATATCCAGGAGCTATATCCAAATTTGAACCGATCTTGACAAAAATTTGATATACTTATTTCAGAGCTGTATATGATATCTGGTGCCAAAGATCATTGTTGTGGAATGCTTATTACGCTTGTGAGGGACTTTAAACCACTAATCGGATGAAACATATATATGGGAGCTATAGCTATATCTGAACCGATGAACACCAAGTTTGAAGTACTGGTTTATAGGATGAATTCAGCCTTAATTGCTAAACTTCTGTCCATTTGGGTTGATATTAGCCAGTTGGTGTACAATAAACTGGATATCGGATAAAGATATAAAGGGAGCTATATACTAATCTAAATGGATCTCGACAAAACTTAAGCTCAATGTTCGTAATAAGTTCTTTCGTTGAATTCCCAACGGTTTTGTATCAGTAAACCTATGCCTCGCGTAAAAATTATGAATGAAATTTGATATTTAAGTTGAAGTTTGCTGGAGTTTATGAGTCAACTAATCAATTTTTTTATGGCGAAGGCTACAACTTTGCAAATACAAGTTCTTTATGGTTCGGAAGATTTGAGCCTGAAAAAATGATCCCTTTGTGTCCAACCAAGGTAAAACCCGGGACACGCATCATTATACCCTACACCACAAGGTGGTCAGGGTATTATGTATTTGTGCAATTGTTTGTAACAGGCAAAAGGAAACGAGATAGACCCGTAGTTCCTTTTGATGATCTGCATAGAATCACATTCTGAATCGATTTATGCATGTCCGTCCGTCCGTCTGTCCGTCTGTCCATGTATTTTTGTAAACAAAGTACAGGTCGCATTTATTACCCGATCCAGATGAAATTTTGCACAAATCATTTGTTTGGCCCAAGGACGTACCCTATTGAAATTGGAGATAATCGGTCAAAATTTAGACATAGCTCCCATATATATCTTCCTCCGATTTGCATTTTATTGGGCACTAAACGTGTAATATTAGCCCGAATAGTATTGAACTTTGCACATGCAACCAAATTAGGCCTGAAAATAAATATGCCAAATTTGATCGAAATCAATTCAGATATAGCTATAGCTCCCATATATATTGTTCATCCGATTTGTTATTTTTGTCCTCTGCAGCCGTAATATGCACTCTGCAACAACAGTATTTGGGGAAATATATCAAATACAACTCAGAAATACATTTGCCAAATTTTATCGAGATCGGTTCAGATTTGGATATAGCTCCCATATATAACTTCGTCCGATTTACCTTCGATTGTGCACCAAACGTCTAAAATTTGCCCAAATTGGATGGAATTTGGCACTTACGACCGAATTGTCAAATTGTATGTCAAATTTAGTGAAGATCGGTTCAGATATAGCTATAGCTCCCATATATACTGTTCATCCGATTTGTTATATTTGTTACCCACAACCGTAATATGCACTCCGTAACAACGATATTCTGGGAAATTTATCAAATACAGCTCAGAAATATCTTTGCCAAATTTTATCGTGATCGGTTCCGATTTGGAAAAAATTAAATTAAAAAAAATTAAATTAATTGTGCACCAAATGGGCAATACAATTCCGAATTTAAACGATACAAATGCTTCGGCAAATTTAGTCCTTTGAACTCTTAATTATAATTATAATCATTGCGTGTATGATTGAATTCTCCCATAAAAACTTTTAATTGTTACGTGAACCTCTACTAAATTAGCAAAGTGGTGTAGGGTATCATAAAGTCGGCCCCGCCCGACTTTAAGACTTTATTTACTGGTTTTATTTTTGATTTTCTATTAGTCTGCGGTGTCAGAATATGGTTATTTTTTTCGTTCACACAGTGTAACTGCATCTCCGGTTTTGATGTCTGACCCAAAGTACAACGCCACTCAATTATGGTTTTATGTAAATCCTTAAACGATTTTTAATAGAATGGGATGTGGCTTGATATTTAGGGATCCTGAAAAGTAAAGAACCAAATGTCAAATAGAAAATCGTAATAACGAAATGTATGCTGATCTTATTTCTTGCATACTGTTTCGCTTGTTTGAATTTGTATTTTGAAGATTTTAAGAAAATATTGTTGTTAGTTCATATAAAGGATTTTAATAATGTTTTTATTATAATTTCCTACGACATATTAAAGTGGTTGCCACATTTCCAAATGCCTATTAATGTATCCTTTTTCTTTCGGCCTAAATTGTTGCCGGTATGAAATTAAAATCCTAATTAATTCCCTCGCATATTTTTGCATTGATCTCCTAAACCCCAATTCTTTTTTTTACATTCTCCACGGATCAGTGGAATTATATAAGACTACAGTAATGAGCTTTTAATTTGACCTTCAAAAAAAAAACGGTGCAACAAAAAATTCTTGGCTTCCCTCGAATTAGCAGCAATTATTACATCCTCTGATACATTTTGTTTTTTTTTTTATCAAAGTAACGAACAATTTATTTTCACAGGATGAAAAAATCCTCAATTCTGCCCAAATTGCCGAGTAGCACGTGCATGTATGTGTGTATTGAAGTTTCTTTCTTTCTTTTTCATATTAATCAGATTTAATTATTCAAATGTTCTCCGCCACCGCCAAGCGTACAGACCATAAACATAATTCCAACACCACTTAGCATATATTTCCTGGCTTGTTTGGCTGGCAATGGACGCATTCATCGGTGTAGTGTTGCTAATCCCATGACGAACTTTATTATCTTACGTTGGTTTTTTTTCTTCTTCTTTTTTTCTTTGCAGCCAATGGCAGAACCAACATACACCAGGGGAAATTATACGCTTTATTATGCCACTAGTACAACAACAGTTGCAAATGAGCCCTCATCAGTAACAACATCATCATCGCAAGTGTCGTCGTCGTCTTCATCCTCCACATCAACATCAGCATCATCGTCCTCGATTCGGGTGCCACCGGCAGCACCACCCTTCATTTCCACATTTTCGTCCAAGTTTTTACACCGCAAAAATCGCCACAGGCCAATGTCTGCCACAGCATCTTCCCATCTGCCACCTGTAACCACTCATGACTGGCTGGTGGAGCCACAGGCTTCCTACCCAGCATCGGCATTAGCCTCAGCACCATCATCATCGTCGTCCTTCTCATCCATGTATAATTCATTTAATCCCTACGATCCATACCATGCCCACTTAGTAACTAAGAAGATTGCGAAAAATGTAAATAATCACAATGTCAACAGAATGGCTGCGGCGGCTAACATTGTAGCCGATGATTATGCGATGGACGGCGAGGATACTACATACGATGAGCATAAATCTCAGGCAGATGATAGTGAAGAATATGGCAGATTTGATGCCAGTGGCGAGGATAGCTCAGCCAGCTTTTCCAATGCCAACTATGAGACATATAGCAGGGAGCATGTTACGGATGACGACTATGGACCATCATCGTCCACCAGCAGCAGCAGCAGTAGTAGTGCCATCACCACCACAACCACCAGCGGCAGAAGTAGAGCCACTAAAATCCCATCAACAACATATGACTATGTGGACTCGTTGCCTCTGTCATCACCATTACCACCACCGCCGCCACCGCCACTAACACCTCCTCCGCCCTGCCCATGGAAATGTGAGCTAACAAATGATCGCGGTTATGTTCTCTACTCCGCCCTCGGCTCCTTCTACATACCCATGTTTGTAATGCTCTTCTTCTACTGGCGCATTTATCGGGCTGCAGTGCGCACCACACGAGCCATTAATCAGGGATTTAAAACCACTAAGGGTAAGTAGCAAGATTTCGGATTTTTTTTTGGTTTTGATTTTTAGATTTGCTCCACCACAAACCTGTGCCGTCCAATTAAATACAAAGCAAAAAAAAAAAAAACGCAAAACAACAACAACAAACTCTCAACACTCTCTCACTTTATTATCATTTCTAGAACTTCTTCATTTGTTGTTTTCATGGCGTCTGTGGCAATACAAAGTAGTTGTGAAATGAAGTAGTGAAACCGTGCCAATATGAAAACGTCTCATTCTAAGCATTTTGTAAAGCAATTAGATTTTGTTTGTTTTGTAAATTTGTTCATTCTAACCAAAAAAATCAGAACTCGACACTTCTTTCATTATTCACGTAACAAAATTTTATTAAATATATGTACATGCAAATATTATAACCACACTGGCTTTGGATCTAAGGTAGGGAGCTTATACTAACATTCTGTTTGGTAATTCCATAAAATAATCATTCAAAAATAGGCATTGAAATTGAGGTGAATTTAGGTAATATTCCAGCCTAGTATCTTTGCTGGAATATTATCTGAAGTAATCCATTATTTCAACAAGTTTATGTCTCACGTAATACGTCGCTATTTTTTGTCCTCTAAAGAACGATTAAATTAGTATTTATTTATCGAATTTGTCTACAAAAATTAGTGATATTAGTCCTTTTTTCGGCGTAAGATGTCCTTGGCTAAATAATGGGTTGATAACTTGATTGGTAATGGGCAATTCTGCTGGGGCTTTATAGGGTTACAAAACCATATAAAAACAATTAAAAAAGGGAAACTCATTTGGCAATTTTCAAAAAAATAAAATCCGTTAAGAATTCTGTTAAAATCTTAAATATACCGAATGTAGCAATTATATTAGGGTTTATACGATGACGTGGAACTGCATACACAATTTTTATCATAATTGCAATTTTTATTTTTTTTTTTTCAATTGCCTGTGGAGATCCTTGTTTTGGTATCCTCCCATATAATGGAACCTCCCTATGTTCGGTATTTTGATGATTTTAGCTGAATAGGTCACCGATTTTTTTTTAAGTTTCGCATTTGAATATTGTATTGGCTTATGACAAAAGTTGCCTATGCAGGTCCACGTCGTCGTATAAACCCTAATATAATTGCTACATTGCCCTAACATAGCGTCTACATTCGGTATTTTTAAGATTTTAAAAGAATTTTTAACGGATTTTATTTTTTTGAAGATTGCCAAATTCGTTTCAAATGGTGGAAAGTATTCAAAGTTCGGCCCGGCCGAACTTACAGCTTTGTACTTGTTTTTGGTTTTTTAAATAGAGCTTCAATTTTATGTAATTTAAACAAGTAAAAAAGTAGGGGTCGGTTTTGCCGACAGATGTATACCCTCAGCACTCTTCACCCTCTATGGAGTGGGTTTTGAAAGAATGGGTCAATATTGTCCATTTCGTATCGGACCTAAATAAATATGATATAAATATTATTATAGCAGATGGATATAGCAATTGTAAAGAATCGCTGCGTTGTTTCACAATTTATGACAGATAAAAATATTGAAAATTGTGTCCCTTTGTGGGTGAGGTACCAGAAGGTGTTCGCAGATATATAGCATCTTCACAACAGATCTGGTGTAAGCAAAAATGTTTGTATGTGTGAAATTTGAACAGAGTTGGATCCTTATTTCGCATTCTTCGAGCGTTATGTTTTTAAAATTAAATTATTGCTTCCCTTTCTGTGCAGAAAATATATATTTTTAAAATTTCAACCATTTGTGGGGGAGGTACCAGAAGAAGTGGACCGATATACTCCCTCTTAAAACCAGACCTTGGGCTAATAAAATGATTGGGATGCGTGAAATTTGAAGACAATCGGACTCTTACATCACATTTTTTGAGAGTTGTAATTTTTCAAAATATTGATCATTTGTGGTGGAGGTACTTGAAGGAGTGAACCGATATTGTCCATTTTACACGTGACCTAGCACAGATGCAAATATTAGAATTTGCAGAATTGAAGCAAAATCGGATTCAATCTTAACACCATACTTTGGCTTAATATAAATATTGGGATGTACGACATTTGAAGACAATCGGACTCTTACATCACATTTTATGTGGGTTGTAATTATTTAAAATGTTGACCCTTTGTGTGGGAGGTACTTGAAGGAGTAAAACGATATTGTCCATTTTTACACCTAACGTAGAACTGATGCAAATATTAGGATTTGCAAAGTTGGAGCAAAAACGGATTATCCTTTCTCTTTCTGTGCAAAAAATATTCTTTTTTTTGCAAATTTCGACCTTTTGTGGAGGAGGTATGAGAAAGAGTGGACCGATATTTCCCATCTCCGAACTCGATCTAAGTTTGATAAAAATATTACGATGTACCAAGTTTGGACAAAATCGGATACTCCCTTCGAGAGTTATCCCAACCAGACAGACAGACGGACATCGCTAGATCGACTCCAAATGTTCTGAAACGGATTTGGTCCAAAGAGACCTAGGGTCTAAAACCGTTATTTCGACTAGGCACGTATCAAATTATATATACACTCTGTAGCCATATGGCTGAGAGTATAAAAATAATACACTGGCATATCTCCCTAAGGTTGAGGTCTTAATTTGTCGAGAACCTAAAAATTGTTTTTTAAGGATCCCGAACTTGTGTACTGCAATTGAGCTCTCCTACAGCATTATTACAGGTTATTTGTTTAAGGCATAACGAAGACAAAATACGATGTTTTTACAATAATTTTAAATAATTATTGCTTTGAAAAATTATGAGAAATGTTTGTTGTAATGAATTATACATTCGCGGCTTAATAGAAAACGCACAGGCACAGGTTAATTGAGAATAATAATGGGAAAAATACACTCAAAGCCAAAAAACTCTCAACTATTTCGGAACTGCACTACTCCGGAAGATCTTCCTTGTTAACCCCAAAGTATCCAAATATGCAAGATTATAATTATTTTCGACATGCAGAGTTGTGAAAAAACTAAATTTTGTTTATTTTTTACTTATGAATATTTCCTATTAAACGCAGAGTTCTGCCTAGAGCAATGGGCTAATATATCGAATTATTTTCCCAAATCCCACTCATTTGGGAGACTCTCCCGAATTAAAGACAGTTGTAGTATGGACATTAGAAATTTTTTTTCGATAGTTGTAAAAAATGTAGTGTTTAGTACCATACGTTTTTATACCCTACACCACACAGTCGTCAGGGTATTATGTCTTTGTGCATTTGTTTGTAACAGGGAAAAAGAAGCGCGAAAAACCCATAGATACCATTGAGGCTCTTCATAGAATCACTTTCTGAGTCGATTTATGCATATCAGTCCGTCTGTCCGTCCATGTTTCCTTGTGAACAAAATTGTATTTACTATCTGATTGAGATGAAATTTTCCAAACAATATTTGATTGGCCCAAGGACGAACCCTATTGAAATTGGTGATAATCGGATCAGATTTAGATTTAGCTCCCATATATCTTCAATCGATTTCGGGTTAATTGTGCACCAAATGGCCATTATAAGTCCTGAATTTTGGCACATCCAACCGAATTCAGTTTAGAAGCAAGTTCGTCAAATATAGGTTTCATCCGATTTGCTGTTAAAGACCCTCGCAAGCGTAACAAGCATTCCACAACAGACATCTTATCGAGCTCGGCAATATTTCTGCTAAATTTTATCAGATTCGATTTTCAACCGATTTCGGGTTAATAGCACACCAAATGGGTAATATCAGTCCAAAATACCTGAATTTTGGTACATCCAACCGAATTCAGTCTAGAAGCAAGTACATCAAATTTGGTGAAAATCGGTTCCGATATTGTGTTTAAGTCTCTCAAATTCCTAATATCCACTCGACAATAATGATATTTGGTACCATATATCTCATAGAGCTCGGACATGCCTTTGCCAAATTTTATCAAGATCGGTTCAGATTGGGATATAGCTCCCATATATATCTTCAACCGCTTTCTGGTTAATTATGCCCTAAATGACCAATTTCTGCAAAAAGTCCATAATTTTGGTACATCCGACCGAATTCAGTCTACAAGCAGGCGCATCGAATTTGGAGAAAATCGGTTCTGATATAGCAATAACTCCCATATATAGGTTTCATCCGATTTGGTGTTTAAGTCCCCCATATTCGTAATATTTACCACACAAGATTGATGTTTGGTTTCAGATATCAAATACAGCACAGAAATACCTCTGCCAAATTGTATCAAGATCGACTCAGATTTGGATAGAGGTCCCATATATATCTTCAACCGATTTCGGGTTAATTGTGAACCAAATGTCCAGTATAAGTTCAAATGACCTGAATTTTGCACATCCAATCGAATTCAGTTTAGAAGCAAGTACATCAAATTTGGTGAAAGTCGGTTCTGATATAGCTGTAGCTCCCATATATATGTTTCATCCGATATAGTTTTTAAGTCTCTCAAATTCCTAATATCCACTCGACAATAATGATATTATATCTTATAGAGCTCGGACATGCCGTTGCCAAATTTTATCAAGATCGGTTCAGATTGAGATATAGCTCCCATATATATCTTCAACCGCTTTCTGGTTAATTGTGCCCCAAATGAACAATTTCTGCCCAAAAGTCCAAAATTTTGGTACATCCGACTGAATTCAGTCTAGAAGCAGGCGCATCGAATTTGGAGAAAGTCGGTTCTGATATAGCAATATTTCCCATATATAGGTTTCATCCGATTTAGTGTTTAAGAATGATCTCTCCCCTATAATAGTTCCCACTGAAACCAAACTATAACTCTAAAGCCAAATGTTGATTGGTGGATCTACTTTAAATAAATTCTTTTGTTTAATCTGCTAAATATGCATAGTATAATACATATACATAATCGGTCCCGCCCGACTTTTGACTTTTCCTTACTAGTTTAGACATCTTCTTTGTTTCTTATAAAAGTTCTATTCCTGCCACGAATACCATTTTAAATAGAAAAAATTAAAAAATTAAAAAAAAATAAAGTTCTTGCTTTCTTC